ATAGGGGGTGTGGACAGGGACAGGTGGTTTTTTCCTGATCCTGGAAGAATGCAGATGCCCAGCCATTCACTGAGATGGAGGAGGAGCACTCTAGGCAGACAGCATAGAGGCAAAGGCTCAGAGGCAGGAAAGGGCTCAGCAGGTTGAAAATTGTATTTCAAATGAGATCTTTCTTCAAGATCGATGAGAAGTCACAGAAGATGTGTTAAAAACACATCTAGTTAAAAATTAATATTCTAGTTAAAACTAATATTCAACTTTTATTCCAGAAAACCTTCCATTACAGTAAAATAAATTATTTCCATCTTGTTTTTTAGGGGCGTTTCCACCTGCCAAAGGCCACAGGGAAGCTATTTCCAGGGAGATGACCCTCAGCAATATGTGGATCTTTCTCATACAGTCTTTTGCATTTTTATCAGGCTATATGTGGTACAACATCTTTCAGTATTTTTACCATTGCCTGTTTTAGGAATTGACTTGGACTTGTCAAGGTCACCATAGGAATTCAGACTTTCATGAGTGTGCATTACTTTACATGTGCAAATCAGAATATAAAAAAAGCAAAGGAAATTCTATGGATGGATTAATATTTATCCCTCTTTGGGATATTTTAAAACTCTGCTAAAATGAGGATCAGTAATCTAATGACTTGCTAATATGTTTTAAGGACTTTTCATGTTTTAAAAAGATAAATTCTGCCACACATTTAGGCAAACATCATGTTTGGAGAAGAGGAAATCATAAAATCAACCTAGAAGACAGAGTAATTCTGTTGCCAGCAGATACTTGATCATGTAGTTCACGCTCAAAGAGCTGTGTTTGTCCTCTTAGCCTGTAGTCTCCATTAGGGCAGTTGCTATAGAGCCCTCACTTCCCCGACTCCTGCTGTGCTACTAGTAACCTTGAGGGGGCTGGTTGGTACCTTCTGAAGAACTGTCTCCCTGTCCCTTACAGTGACACTCCAGTCCTCACCAGCTCAGTGGGGTTCGGTGTCAGGCATGCTTTGGGGGGAAAGCAGTGTCCAGTGGACACGTCCCGGTCCTGGAATGTTCTCTTTTAAAAGGCTAGCTCAGCCCGACACCGTGTTTACATGCGCTAGTGCTTTCCGTGTGTGTGTGTGTGTGTGTGTGTGTGTGTGTGTGTGTTTTGGGGGGAGGGGGGACTTGGTTTCTCCTTTTGTATAGAAGGCGTATCGTAGATTGATAATTTTCTTTTACAAAATGCACTTTTATCAGCTGCATCTATAGCAAAGGATTAGTAATATGGCCTGAAAACCAGACTCGCATAACCAGTGAGGGGGACTCTTGAGCGGCTGTCCTGCCTGCGTGTTTTCCCTGTGCGCTGATGCTCTCCAGAGCCTCCCTGAACTGGGCGCCACACCCAAGGGAGGCTTCTAGCTGGCTCAGAGGCCTTGTTGTCTTGTTTGTTTGTGGTTTTGTGTGTGTGTGTTTTTTTTAATTTTGGTATATTAGCACCAAATGCATTTGGGGATGGTTGAAACAAATTAATGCAAAACATTTAAATCAATATATGGTGAAATAGGCTAGTTTATTAGAAAAATAAGAGCTAGAGCCAGACTCTGGCTTGAAATGGTGACAAGTTGTCACAGGCACCCCCAGAAGCTGCCACATCAAGGAGCTGCCCATGTCAGGGTGGTGTGGCCAGGAGAGACCAGCACACAAGGCTTCCCAGTCTCTTCCAGTTGCTTTTGAACAGGATAAAGCTGTGGCTATTTCTAGAAGGATTTTTTTTTTTTTTTTGCATTTGTCACTATGTTCATGCAGTTTACCTCACAGTAGAACCAAACTCTTCTCGCAGCACTGGCACTGCATCTGTCACTGCCTGCACTCCAGCGTTGCAGAGAACGTCCTCTGGCCCGGGGTTGTGAGACGGTGAGATCCTGGTGAGTCAGCAGTAGTTTTCTGTGACATGAGCATCATAGATTCCCCTCTGGTTGCTGATCGTACAATTTGACAATTTTGAGATGGTCAGAAAGCAAAAGTAAAGGCTGATATTTTTTGTTTTTTAAATAAACCAAAAAGACAAACTGAGAAGACAGCTATGTGGGAAGGGTAAAGCAACACCAAATACAAGCCCACAGCGGCTTCACCTTTAGGTTAATCCGGTGCATGTGTGAAGAGAGTGATGCGTGAACTGAAATACCTCATTGATTATACTACTGCTGGTGAGACGCAGAAGGCAGCAGTGTTCCTGTGTCTGGTTTGGGAATGGCTGTCATAGGTGCCACTCTTTTGATATTGAAGCATTTCATTATGTGTTTTACAGTGACTGTGAGTAGGTGAAACCAATCTCAATTTAGAGGTACGATGCTGATAGGAAGCCAAATGGGAACTTAAAGGTGCTTCTGATTGAGGCCCGGCAAATGCTACTAGATTACAAGATGAATTGGAATTGTTCACTTGAGAGGTTAGTCAGCCATCTAGGGGACAAGTTGTTCACTGTCAAGCATGGCAGACACATTCTAGCCACTAGGCCTGTTCCTCATTGCTGAAGCTCTCCCATCAGAAAGGAAGAGAAATGCATTCGTGCACACACAGGTGTGGCTTAGGGCCACTTCTGCCATCACTGTGCTCCAAAGGAGCATGGTATTGTTTACTATACTGTACACATTAAACAGACTATTCTGTAAGATGCTTTACTTTTCAAGCACAGTCATGTCAACAGCCTCTTGATGTGTGAGTTAATTTTTGAACATAGATCTGTGAGTTGTAAATAGATGTGTGTTTGATCTGCCCTATCCCTCTTGTTTCTTCATCAACATGTTCCCTCTCTTCTGTTAGCAAAATATGCTTGTTTGAGAGCATTGCTAGTGCTTTCCTTTTCAGCAACTGGGGTTCTCTTGCTCACAGTAGGGAATGTAAAGAGTAAATCAGTGTTTTTATATGGCAATCAGGGAAGCAGCAATATGCCACTGTACAGAACTGGGTAAAATTCCCAATTTGTACTTCCTTTGCAAAGTGAGTGAAAGGAGATTTAGCGAATATCCATTTTGTCAAGGGGAAAAAAAGTAATAACACTGTGCCAGTTTTATACCAGTAGCTTATAGAATCGCAGCATTTCTTGGCCTTGGCTGACCTGCCTAGATTCCCACAGCAGACAGGGTTGCAGACTCCCTGCTGGATCCTGGAGTCACAGCGATGGAGCACCTGCCTGGCCTCCAGCTACAGAAGTGACCACCCCAGAAGTCCATGCTTAACTCCAGAAACTGTTATTGGTGTTCAAATATACAGTTATTGTAGAGAAGCCTATAGACCAGTGGAAGGTAAAGAAAAATTACAGAATGGAAATGATGTCTTGAGTAGTCAAACAAAGTAGTTGAGAATCTAAATAGTAGATTTAAAAAAAAGCTGTGAATTCAGATCTGTCATGTTATCCATCACATTTTAATATTACAACTAACCCTTAATTTTTCAGAGTAAAGGAACTAGAGATTACTGGATAATTATTCCAGTAATACATCATGTAAGCCAAAAATCTGATTGTATTTAGGAGTTTGAATTTTTATTCTCATCCAACTTTTTTCCCCCCTCCTAGATGCTGACTAATTTTATAAAATGACTCAAGTTGTTAGCTTCTCTTGCCTATATATTTGTGACTGTTAATGGGTATGGAAAGATTGGAAAGACAGCCAGCTTCAGGAAGAGGGAACACAAAGCCTAAATGACCCATAGTCTAGAAAAGGATTCCCTAATAATCAAGAGTTGGCAGAATTACAGTTGTTCTCGAGCGTTTTTATGAAAATGAAATGTTAGTTCACCAAATGTAAACCTCAGAACATCATTCTCGTGTTCATACCATTTGGATCGATGCTAAGAATCCCTTTCCACTCTGCTCATGTCACTCACTTCGTGTGCATTTGTCTTAGTGACGTTTTTTGACAATCACTTCCCTAACAACTCCTCTGAACTAGTGGGACCTGGTTATAATCATAGGATGTAGTCTTTAATCATGGATGGTCTTATTGGACTCATTTTATATTTAAGAACATTTTTATTTGCACTGCTGCATAGGAAGCATTAGTTGTTTTCTTCATTACACAGGACTTCACTCCAGAGTTACCACTGCAAGTCCCAGCGCTGTCCACAGCGGACGGGTGAAATGGTTAGTCTTATTTTTTGCCATGTAGTGCTGTGAACCTTGCTTCTGGTAGCATGAAAGGCAAAATCAAAAGCAGACTGGGCAGCAGGTGCACTGGTTCATAGTCTAAGAGGGTAGAGACTAATATATTGGGACCAAAACTGCCCAAGGGGGATCACAAGGGGGCCGGGCATTCTCTGGAGCGGTCACTGGTTGGTGCTTTGTCTTATCCTTTGCATTGCTCCCCAGCAAGGAGGAACTGGACCCTGGGAATGAGCTGAGAGTGCTGGACTGTTGGGGGAGGGTAACTGTGGCCACATGGAAGATAAAATGTGCGTTTTTCTGCAGAATTTCCATTTGAGGACTTTTACATTGAATATTTTTTTTAAAACAGTTTAAAGAGCAAAAAAAATGTTAAGCGTATTCTAGTTGCAAAATATGCACACCTGTTTTGAATGGCTTTATTTTTATTGTGTAAACTGTTGAACACATGGCTGTGATGCACAAATTCTTTCCATATAAAGAGTCTCTGCATCTTATAGTAACTTCTGTTATGATTGGGTAATGAAACAGTTACACACCAGACTGCCATTGTTGTGTTAAGTGCTTTCATTTTCTTTACAGTTATCACAAAGTTGTATTTATTTTATACAGATGGATTTTCGTTTTCCTGATGCCATAATGTTTACTTCAGCTTGGTGACCTGTCTTTCTTTGTGTATCTGCATGTTGTAATGTATGATAAGAATGAATGTAAAGGCTGTGGCGACTGTAATTTTTGTAAAGGGCTGGTCACACGTGGATCTGGTTTACGAATGCATTGGGATTATTGTAGTAACCAGATTACCTTTTCAGAAATTGAGATGTGAACACCAAAAGAAGCATTTTCTCAACAGAAAATTAATAGCTGGTTCTATTTTTTTTAACCTAGAAAAAATAAAGTTGATTTTTTTCAAGTAAAGTGCTTTTAATTCTTAGTAGTGGGCATGGGGTGTTTGTTTTCCTGGAGCTATTTGGGGATTAACATCCGAAGACATGTACTTAGAACACAGCATGGCAGTCAGATGCCGAAGACAAACCGAAACACCAAATGGAAAACATTGCTCTCCTCTGGTTTAATTGTCCCTCCCCCATCCAGTGGTAAACTGGTAAATGCTTAACAATTCGCTCCTGGGGAAAAATTATGTATACAAACGTACAGAAGTTATAAACTTCGCTGATAGCAAGGATTTTATAACATGATTAACAGATAATAATAAAATATACTTTATTGTAAATTCCATATATCCAGTCGATTCTCCCAGGATGCTCCAGTTGATTTTTCCTGAACTCTTTAGCCAACTTATGACCATGATCCAACCATGATTTGAAAAATGGAATTACATCGTAATGCACTCATTTCTCAAATGTGTCATTCAATCTGATATGTGATCTACTGTTAAACTGTTTCTTAGCCTTGTACAAATTACACTCATTGAAGTGAACCACTTTCAGCTTCACCAATGGGAAGCTTATATAATTTAATTTTAATAACAGCCGTTTAACAACGACTGGTGGAATTCTAAAACTTAAAGTTGGGCTCTCTTGAGCTGGTGGGAGATGTCTCCAGCACACCACTGCCCGATTCTGTTTTATGTATTTTTTGTTTTAAAAAACTGTTGGTGTTGAATAAAGGTCTTACAGTTGATCTACTCACTGCTCTCAGGAACTTCCTATCTCTGACCCTGGCCGGGGCTTGTAAGGATAGGAAAGCATTAACATTACAGAGCGGGCTTTGGAGTTTTGAAGAATTTGCCAACGCCAGCTTTCCCTGAAAGCTGCATACATGGAAAGCTTGCATATTTTTAAAGTTGGTTGTATGCTTTTATTTCTCAAAGTGAACTGTGATAATAGGCATCTCTAAGATTTTGTTTTGAGCATTTAAAACATTTTTTGGTTTGATGTTTGTAGAATATGCTTGTGCCCACTGAAAAATTTTAAATGTATTAAAATATCTTACGTAATCTACAAAATAGGTTAACTAGTTGCAGTTCAGTCTACCTCTTCTGTTTCCTGTCTGGGTTGAGGCTGCTGATTTGGTGAAGTTGTAATTGCCCCCCTCCCCGAAGTGGTTTCTGTAGAAGGCGAAGAATAAACTGGGGGCAGAGGCCTGAACGCTAGTTTGAAGCACTCAGAGATCTGTTGCTGACCAGCCCTAATCCTCATGAGTTGGGGAAAAACCAAAAAAGCCATTGTTTTTAATTTCCACTTAATATGAAAATGTTTGTTTTAAAAATGTTTCTTCCTGCTGGAAAAAAAAATGTATTTTTAAAAGGAAAAAAATTCCTCTTTCGGTTATAAGAAAAAGTCAGCTGTATGAGCAGGTGTGACCATATCATAACATGCTGATATGATATAAATCAATAAATTTTTACCTCTCAGGACTTGGACAACCTTGTTCTTAACTCTTAGAGGCTTGAGAAACGTAAACGAAGTATAATCAGGTAACACGTGGAACCTGGGAGGAGGGTTGGCTAACCACTGGAAATGAGACAGGCTTCTTTCGTAATCAGAAAATCCTCTGAATTAGCTGGGATTATATTCATTTTACAAAGGAAGAAATTGCAATGACGTTTTTTGCTACAAATCATGAGCCTATCACAGAGCTCTTCCCAGTTCTCCCCTGGAGAGTTTCTGTCCCCTCTTCTTGGAACACCATCTGCCTTTCAGGTGTGTGAACTGAGACAGTGGTAGAGTTCCCTTTCCTTCCTTACCTCAGATAGGAGAAGACCTGGGCATCCTTGTGATGATAGCAGCTGTCTTGTGGTGTCACTGAGAAGTGAGCAGGCTGGGGTACTTCCCCTCAAATATTAATTTCTACATCTTCATTCCTTTGTTTCATTTTTTATGGAAAAAACTCCCTGAAAAGGGTCTTGTCTTTAGTTTTTTACCAGCTCACTAGCACTGTATCATGGCCAGCTGATGGGTAGGTGGGGAAAAAGAAAGCAGGTACCTAGAGGTGGGGAAATAGAGGAGCCTGGAATACTAGGGAGAGGAGCCAGGAGTACTAGGGAGGGGAGCCTGGAGTACTAGGGTGGGGAGCCTGGAGTACTAGGGAGAGGTCCCAGGAGTACTGGGGAGGGGAGCCTGGAGTACTAGGGAGGGGAGCCTGGAGTACTAGGGAGAGGAACCAGGAGTACTAGGGAGAGGAGCCTGGAGTACTAGGGAGAGGAACCAGGAGTACTGGGGAGGGGAGCCTGGAGCGTTGGAAGGCAGAGGGAACGCTGGTAGCTACTGTCCACAAACAGGCACACACCCTGACACAGGAGGACCCCGGGAAGTCAGGGAGCTCACCTTCCAGGGGGGCTGTCCCAGGACTGCCGTCCCTGAGGGCTCACCTGTAGAGGCTTCCACCTGCCATTCAGATACTCTACCCTCCTGGCAGGAGATGAGCTCGCCTCTCAGCCATTAGGCACCTCCAGGATGCCAAACAAAGGAACAATTGAAAATACTGGTGACAGAGCCTCCTTTAATCGAGGCACCTGGAGCCCACAATGGGGCTGTTCTGTTGTTAATCCTCACTGGAGGACGTTTTCCCATTGATTTTTAGAGAGAGTGGGAGGGAGGAGGAGAGAGAGAAACATCTATATGAGAGAAACAAATCAACTGGTTGCCTCCGAACACCCCCTGACGGGGACTGGGCCTGCAGTCCCTTTGGTGCATGGGCCGGCGCTCTAACCACTGCGCCACCGGCCAGGGCCACGTGGGGCGTTTTATTCCCTGGTATGGACACATTTCAGTAAGGACAAAGGATGGCACTGGAAGCCAGGCATCTGGGCCTGCACTGGATGTATTGAATGCTGGTATATTCAGTGTGGACAGTGCGAGCAATGGCAGCTCAGGGCTCCCCAAAAGCACAAAAGTAGAAGTGTAACCAAAGCCACATGTTCAGCTGGCTGCCTTCCGCAACAGAAAGCCAAACTCGCCAGACAGGTGCCGGCGCCCAGACTGACGGCCGCTTACGGTAACAGAGGCCACCTTTTTGGCTTACATCCAGGACTGGCACAGTGTCACTTTGGTTAAAGTAAGTCACAGGGCCAGTCCAGGTTCAATGTGGGCAGGTTTCCGAAAGAGTGTGAAGAGTGGGAGGCAGGGCTCGTTGGGGCCAGCCATCTGTGAAGACCAGCTATCATGGTAAAAAAAGTCCTCAGCTGTGACAGAACACTATAGACGGGTCTAGAACAGTGCTTGCACTGTGACAGGTCTGCCCATAATTTCAGTTGGAAATATTTTGAGTTACCAAATACTATTTATTTTTTCCATCACCATGTATCCCCCCCATACCCTCTTCTAGCCCCTACCCCTCAATCACCACACTGTTGTCCAAGTACTTTTTTTTTTCTTTTTTAAATATATCTTTATTGATTTCAGAGGGAGGAAAGGAGAGGGGGAGAGAGAGAGAAACATCAATGATGAGAGAGTCACTGATCGGCTGCCTCCTGCACACCCCCGACTGGGGATCGAGCCCGCAACCCGGGCATGTGCCCTGACCAGGAATCAAACCCCAATCTCCTGGATCCTAGGTCGACGCTCCACCGCTGAGCCACACCGGCTGGGCTGTCAAGTACTTTTAAGAGAATTAGATCTGTTGATCCATCAATCATTCGTAGAAATCCCATTAACCAAAGGAACACCTATCTGAAAGGTAGGTTTTGTTTGGGTGTGATCTTTATATTGCTCTTGGCACTGACTGACGCATGGGGCCTTAGAATTTCAGAGCCAGTAGGAACTGTAGACGTCACTGTGTTTTGAGACGGTGGATTTCAGTCTGGTGCAATTTTGGGCCATGGTAGCATGAAATGGCTACTTAAAAGAACTGCAAAAACTAGACCCAGCCAGGGCTCTTGGTTTCCACTCAAATGTTTTCCCCAAAATAGCAGATTGCTTCTGTTTGTAGTAAATAAGAGTTCGCTGTGGAGGATTAAGTACACTTGTTAAAGGGGTGATGAATCCAAAAGCTTCTATCATTTCCTTTCCCTTGATTTTAAAGTAAACATAATAGCCCCCAAATGCGAGATTATTTTTATGCGTTCCCCTCAGCTGTTGCGGGGATACAATTAGCCACTAAAAATATCTGAGATCCATGTTTTTATCTTTTTGGATATGACAGTGAAATGTATTTCATTTTTATTTTTGCCCCGTATAGAAGAGAAAGGGAAGCCTTCATTTCAGACCAGAAGGGATAGTGATTTCAGTCTCATATTAGTTCCTTTTGTTTCTGAATTCCAGATTGAAACTGGCAGCAGGTTATAAATTCAGGGCCACGACTGCCTGTAGTTCCCACCGTCCCTCTGTCAGGGTGGCGGCTGGGTTCCAGGGCTTGTCCAAGTAGGAGCAGAACCCAGGACTTAGCCCATGAGCTTGAATTTAACCCCCTATCCTCGCAAGCTCATTCTGATCATGCATTAAATGGGAAATTTTCTTTCTCTTTTTAAAGTTTTTTTCCCTTTTTATTGAATTTATTGGGGTGACACCGGTTAACAAAATTATACGGATTTCAGGTGCATAATTCTACAACACATCATCTGTACACTATTGTGTGTCCATCACCCCAAGTCAAGTCTCTATCATCATTTATCCCCCCCATTCCCTCTTCCACCTTCCCCCACACCCTCCCCAACAATCACCGTGTCCATGTTCATGTGTTTGTTTGTTTTTCTTTTTTACTCAATCCCTACCCCCCACGCAGCCCCCCCCCACACACACCTATCAGCCTGCTCTCTCTCTATGAGTCTGTCTCTATTTTGCTTTTTAGTTCATTTTGTTCATTAGATTCCACATGTGAGTGAAATCATATGGTATTTGTCTTTCTCTGACTGGCTTATTTCACTTAGCATAATGCTCTCCAGGTCCACCCATGCTGTCCCAAAGGGTAAGATTTCCTTTTTTTAAATTTTTTATGGCCAAGTAGTATTCCATTCTATAAATGTACCACAGCTTTTTCAGAGTTATTTTCAATATTAAATGAGATCGTACATGTGAAGCACGTCGTACTGACTGCTCACCCCAACTAGGTTTCACAGACGATGTGCATTATTCTTACACCCAGCTGTGCCTAAGGTCCAAATGGCCTGTTTGGTTCATAATTGTCTATAATGCCCACCACCCCATTTTCCAGAGCCCTGGGTCCTTTGGGTTTCTAAGGTAAACTGAAATGCAATCAGCATAGCCAAGCTCCTAACCTCACCTAGTCAGACTCTACCTAATTATCTAAGGCTCCAGACAGCAGCAAGAAAAAGCTTTGAGGTTGGAGAGCCAATTAGGAAGATAGGAGAGGAGGGCATATAGAGGAAATGGGATCTACTAGACAGAAGCCATTACATAGCCTTAATAGGGACCTATTTTTGCTTCTGAGACATGATGTCACTTGTGGTGAAGACCTTGAACTTAATTATCAAAAGGGAGGGAAATATAATTTCTAGGAGTTGGAAGCTATCCACCAGCCCATAGTTCTCTATGTATAATTCATATGATCCTAAATATAAAAGCCTTGCTGGCTAAAGATTCAGGAAGCCACAGTCATTTTTAAAAACTTTTCCCTTCTAGTTGCAGAAGACTCTGGGGTTTATATATTGAGAATCGACATTTCATCTTTCAGTTGTAAGTCAATTCTTAGAAATTAGGTACCAGAAAGAAATGGGCAGATGTTGCTTTTGGTTATTGAGGTGTCATGGGAGAGTACAGAAGAACTTTAAGCGGAGCTGGGACAGCAGGCATGGATTGTAGGCTCAGCTCTGCTGGGGGTGGGAGCAGGGAGGCGATAAGAAGGAGATGCTCGACCTAGGATCCAGGAGATCGTGGTTCGATTCCCGGTCAGGGCACATGCCCGGGTTGCGGGCTGCAGCCGATCAATGACTCTCTCATCATTGATGTTTCTATCTCTCTCTCCCTCTCTTTTCCTCAATCTGAAATCAATAAAGATATATTTAAAAAAAAAAAAAAAGGAAGTGAAAGTAGGGGCTGGAGCCATGGGGGGTTGTTATAAGCTGCAGAAGCAGGAGAGCACAGGCCTAATGGACACGTGAGAAGCAATGAGCCTGTCGTTCAAGGAGCTGCAGCCACATGCTCAGCCCCAGACATCTTGGTGGCTGCTCCTCCTGTGGGCTCCGGCTCTACCTGTCAACCCTGCACCCCACCAGGAAGACAGCGAGCCAAGGACAGCCCTTCCTGCCCTCTCAGGTCCCAGCTCTCAGGGGCCTCCACTCAGTTCCTCGCCCTACCCCTTCCCTCTGGCGGCTGCCCTTTAAATTGGAGGGCATGCGTGAAGCGCTCAGGATTTTATAGACGAATGTACTTCCCTAGTCTGGGGGGGGGACAAAACCACATGGTTCTAGGAGCTTCCATTTCTTCCCTTGACTGGCACTTTTAAAAGTGTGTGTTCTACCCTCTT